TATTGCAATGCTGGGAATTATTTTCATTCCCAGATGGTAATGAATCTCAAACAGTCCCTCGAGATAAGCACCCACCTTTCTTTCCTGCGAAGTGCTGCTAATAACAGAAGTGTCAAATGAACTAGAAAAAAAAACCAACCAAAGTACAAAGAGCTTCAGGAATGACTTTGAACCGAACGAACAACTTTGCTTCCTGCAAAGGTTTCATCATCTTTGCCTGTCTTTTATACCTTATGGGTATAAAAGAATCGCCCCTTTTGTTTCAGCTGCTCTCGCCTTCTAGCAGCTCTGTGCATACGCACTCTGGGAACAGGCTCCCCTGGGTCCTCTGCCTCGCTGCTGCCAGACTCTGGAGGCTCCGGAGGCAGCACCCCACTCCCAGATCATCCTGGCCCCATCTCTGCATCGGATGCAGGATCCTTGTGCGAGTCCTCTCCAGACTCCCGGGCTGATCCCCTTTCTTCCCCACTGTCCGATTCTGCTGCCGTGTGCACAGGCTGCCTAGTGTAAGGTCTCCTGCTTGGGCGGAGATGACCTACAAGGGCCCTTCCGACTCTGTTAATCTGTTAATCTGGCCTGTGGTGGGGGTGCTGTATTCTCTTTCACAAAGCTGTTTTTTTCATGGTATTGCTATCATCTTCTCCATAGGACCAGCTTGTGTGCTGCCACTTTTGCCCCAACAGGACTGCTTTGGGTGCAGAAAGAATATGGCACCATAGAAAGAAACCACCATTGCAGGAAAGAAAGTGGAGGTCTGGACGCCTTCCAAAGGAGGTAATAGCAGAGAAATAAACAAAGATGTATTTGGAAATTGATATATCTAAACAGTAAATGATGTTAACAATTTTAGCACCCTCTTTCCCCTAGAAATAAAAACCAGGCAATTTTAGAGTGGTAATTAATCTGATTTAGAAAAGGCTGGGTTTTGGAAGAGAACCAGAATTTTCCAGGTTATCCAGCCCCATGCGCTTCAACTTCATATTTTCAGTATCAAACACATTTTATAAGACAACCGTTGTTTATTCTGCACTTATCTTTGCTATTAAGGGCTTTATTGATCCCTACAGTTGCTCAGAGAACTCATGCCACATGGATCACTGATTCATATTACCATCCTGATTCATGATCTAGTATACGGTTCAAAGACATCCATTCTAGATTTCAAGGACAACTAAATTTAGTTCTGATTTTGCTCTTTCCTCCTAACAGTAGGAAGGAAAGAAGGAAGGGAAAAAGTGGCTGCATGGTTGAGCATTCACTAGACAAGGCTAGGCTGACCTCTGAAATGTCCCAAGGAAGGAAAGGAGGCCAGTAAGAAGAAATGAATTTTAAAGAAAAACCAACTGCATCCCTACTTCAGGGAGAAGCACTTACTCTGGTAACAGCCAAGAGCCCAATGAAAGATCTTGCAACTCCTTGTCCTTGCCTTTAGTGTCATAACTATAGTGAAATCCTACAGGATGAATTTCCTAAGTAGGCACACAGGGGCGTGCATAAGTGGACCATCGTGCCTCCCGTCCCTGTCCTATTGTCCCCATTTAATTGTACCTATTTTCTGTATTCTTACGTTGATACTTATACCTATTATTTTGTAAGCGATTGACAAATCAAAATAAATAAATAAATCCTACAGGATGAATTTCCTAAGTAGGCATTTCCTAAGTTCTTGTCCAGCTAGGCTTCAAGAATCCAAACTGAACCTGTTCGTTCCTCCAGGCCCAAATAATAGAGAAACATGGTCTTAACTATAATTTTGCATTTATGCTACATCCCCAGACAACTGTGTCTCTTTGATGATGGGCATCAAAAAACAAATGAGGTATTAGAAGTAGTTCTCAAAGTAAACACATCTATTAAAAGCACCAGTGTTACGTGGTTATAACTCTCTTTCTATCTATGTTGCAAAGTAAAAGACAGCATATCCAGCAATGCTTGCATTATGGATTTGTTCGGGACATTGCTTTGTTTATACACATTGGTCTTGGCCTCATAGTCATCGGAGACTTTTTCATATTATTTCATTGATTTTTTGGGGTGAGAGTCTCAAATCTTTCACTGTGCATGCCATCTCCACTTATTTATGCAGGACCTGGGTTGGTTATTTATGTTTAAAAACAAATATTTGGAATATACAGGAAGTGTGAGGTTTTTTAAAAAATGCAGCAGGGAAGAATATATTTCTGTCTTGCTCTAAACAAATAAATGTTACGGTAATTGGAAGAGCCTGGGCTGTGGTGCAACAGGAAATCTTATGATGTTAGTTTCAATATCTTTCAAGGTGCAATACCTACAGATATCTCCACCCTTTGTAAACTGAAACATCTCATACACAGCAGAGCCTTGGAGTGAATGGTAAGAATTTCTTTCAGTGTTTTTTAGTCATATTAAGGATGTGTGTTTTAAATTAGTTTTATTGTTTTCATGCAGGCATGAAGGGTTTCCATTGTATGTCAAAGTCCCTTATATAAAGTCCCGTTTATGAGATTGTATGATGTGAAGATATTGCATATTTTTACTGAATACAATACAGTAATGCATCTTGTTATCATAGCATTATTTTAATTTTTCTGAATGAAAATGATTTCAGGATTATATAGATTATAAAGATTAAATGAACAAATGAATTAAATACTGTTGTATAATGTTTGACTAAGCAGAAAGGTATATGTTGCATGAAACAACAAATTTGGGAACTGATTCAAGCCCTCAAGGCTGCATAGTAACATAAGGTATTCACTTACTTTTTTTTTTAAACACTGTTGTCAACCTCAAAAACACACTGGCTTGAGTTCCGGTTTGTCAGGCTTCGGAGGCAGCAGGAATTCGTGTTTGTGCGCGATCCCTGCTGCGCTCGCTGCTGGAGTGCCTTCGATCCAATTGGATTGGGAGGCTATAGTTATCCTGTAGGGATAACTGAAGAGAGGGGAGATCCGGGCAGGGGTCGGGGGATATCGCACCCCCCTTCCCCAGCCGGCTTAACTCCCTTTTCCAAAGGTGGTGGAGCGGCGGTCAGCAATGGCCGTCACAAAGAACCTCTCAGCCGGACAAGTTTTGTGCAGGAGGAAGTGAAGAAAGAGAAGGCTTTTGGCTGAACCGGGATGACAATTAACATCTGAATACCCTGAAACTTTGGCTCCTTAAGTGATATATTGTTTCCCAGAAGATCGTTAAGCTGCGGTGGAAAGTAAAGGGAAAGTTTTTTGTTTTTTTCTCCTCACTTCCCCACGGAGACAGCAGATGGAAATCGGAAATACCCGCTTTGGCAGCAGAAGGTACTAACTTTGAAAATTAAAGCCAAGGGGACATTAGATTTCTAAACACTGACATTTAAAAATTAAAATCTTTTTGCTTTAAGTGGGAAGGAAGAGAGGCAAACGTTTGTTGAAGGAGATTGCTTGGAGTTTTATAAGATCAGAGATTAAATTGCAATAAAACTTCCAAAAAATACCTTGGAATTGTGTAATTGAATTCTACCCCAGGAAGAGAAAGTAGAAGAAAGTGCTAAATGAAACAGACTGTGCTGATTGTGCTGACTTTGATTGCTTGATGACTTTGGGACTTTTGTGAACTATCTTTTGAAAGACTAAGAAAACATTTGGATTTTTTTACAATGGTATCTGTTGAAGAACTGAAAATGCAATTTGAAAAATTAAGAGAAGAAGAAGAAGGCAAGGGCTCCTTTGGATCTATCCTTTGCTTCTTAGAAATGGCGATTTCTACTTATCAGGAAATGCAACAAGAAAAAGGCTGGGATGATGAAGAAGAAGCCATCTTTAATGGACATATGATTTTAAATGAGAAAGAAAGGGGTAAAAAGGAAAAGAAAATGGAGAATTTAAGTTCTAAAAAAACAACCAAGAAAGGGAAAAATAAGGTGAAAAATCGATATAATGTCAGAAAGCAACAGAAGAGAGGAATACAACAGAGAGGGGAGACTAAAAGGCTGGAGATTGAGAGAGGGGGGCGTAAAAAGGCTAGATTTGACAAGGAAGGAAGGGAAAAAGTGAAGGGAAGTTATAAAGGCTTAAAACAAGATGCGAATAAACAGGTTTTTTTCAGAGATAAAGGGTAAAACATAATCTAAAAAGAGATTCTGCAAAAGTACACAAGATTGTATTGTAGTATTTGTATTTGAAATATGGGTTAATAGAATATTGTAGGGAATGTGTAAAATGCCTAAGATTTAATTAATAGAGTTTAATTAATTATTTTTAATATACTATAAGATCATTATGTTTTATATTTTAAAATGTTATGTAGAATGTACTAAGCAGAATCAGAATAGAAACTATGTATTATTTTAAGTGTTAAATTTGGGGGGGAAATAGAAAGGTGTCATACTTCAACCAGTGATTACAGGGAAAAATTTGTGGTAAAGAGAAAAGATAAATAGATAATTGAAAAAGAACGGACAAAAGATACAAGTATAATGATTTAAATTGAGATTAAATAAATAAAATAGAATTAAGAGAGTGAAAAGAGAAGATATGAAATAGTATATAAGGTGAGCATGAATTTGATTTATGTCTGTACAAAAAGTTATAACCCGGGGTTAAGCCGCTTTCTAAAAAGAAGTTTTATGTTTTTATGTTATGTATTTTGTTTGCTTATGTTTGTTTATCGAGGATTAATGATGTTGGATAAGAACATATGAAATAGTAATAATATGAAATATAGTAATATGAAATACATGAAAGTATAAGTTTAATGAATAAAATTGAACAGAAATAAAGGAAGAAACAGTGAGAAGTTGGAAAAGAGTAATGTACTTAAATGAGATGTTTTATTTGTTTTGTTAAGCAGTTTTTAGAAAAGATGTTTTATGTTCTTATGTTTTATGTTTTGTTTGTCTGTGTATTGTCTTTGAAAATTAATAAAATTTGTTATTAAAAAAAAACAACAACACACTGGCTTCAGTTTATAATCTTAACCCTTTAAAAGCTGCCTGGCAAAAGTACAATAATGCCATAAATTCCATTGCTATTTTACAGATACTGAAGATGTTTTTGTTTCTTGTGATATCTCTTTTGGTTCTGGAGTTCAACGATTCCAAAAAATTGTCAAGAACAAAGACAGAAGGGAACCCTGAAACATTCATGAATATTGTAAGTTTAATGTAGTTAATATACTTTAGTACAATATTTTATACTGTAATGGTTGGAACCTCATTGTCAATTCTAATCTGGTTTCTGAATCCAGGTATCATATATACAATGGTAAAAATGTTCCACTTGTACTAGTAAATTTATATTTGAATCAGTTATTTTAGAGTTTTCAATGATCAAGGTTAAATTCCTTAGATACTCATAGGCCAATGGGCACCTCCTTCAATACCTAAAGAAGGGGACAGAAGCTTTGTTTCACTCCTTTGCCAGCTTGGACCCAATCTGTTTCACCATATTCTGTCTACAGAAGAGACTCCCTGATCTCCCTCTCCCTTTCTCCGTCTCTGTCTCTCTCCCTCCCCCTCCCTTCCTCCCTTCTTCCCTCCCTCCCACCATCTCTATCTCTATCATCTCTATCTCTATCTATCTATCTATCTATCTATCTATCTATCTATCTATCTATCTATCTATCTATCATC